AACAAAATTTTGTTCCTCGTTCTCTTCGGTACATAGTCTAACAAAATTTTGTTCCTCGTTCCTTTCGGTACGTCTCCACCGAGTCCAGAATTTCCACGACATTTGATGGTATGAAATCTGACGACACAAACGAGGACTTAAGCGTTCTCGACTGCAACTTTTCGCAGGATACCGCACTGTCAATAGGGAAACGCGAATGAAATACACGAGAATATCAGGAAATCGATCTTACGCGTCACGCAAACGTGTGGATACTGACGACGTAAAGCATTGCGTTCGCGTAGAAATAACATCCGCATCTGTATCGCATTAGAATTACTGAGCTCAGAGCGTATTAGTGTGTAGAAGTTAATCACTGTCTCGTAACATAAATCGTAGTAAACATTATTTCTGGATTAGTAAGAAATATGAATACTTCTCGAGCAACTCATCTAGTATTGTAACTGAGAATATATTACATAATCTTTCATATATTTTTTAAGATTTTGTAATATAACGTGTGTGTGTGTCGCGCGCGCGCGCGCAAAATGATTAATATTTAAAACTATATTATACATATAATGTAATAAATACTTTACTTGATATATATATATATATATATATATATATATATATTTACGTTTAGTATGTGGCAATACGATAATTAATTAGATAGAGAGAACGCACAAGAGAAAGTTTTCGTTTATAACCTGCTGCATTGCTACACTGCCGCCTTTTTTATCTCCTCATATCAAGTTGTATACTTTATACCTATATCTTCTTTTTTCCTATTTTATCTGGTAAAATTTTTATTACGATCCTTTTAGTTGATGAAAGTTTGAAACTTTGCTTGATTTTCATCTAAATTACGCTACAGCAGTTCGTTACTGAATTCTGCAACTAACGAAAACAGCTGCAACAAAATAATTAGCAATAGCAATAATTGTGATGGAATATTTATCGATATTAAGGATTACCGTACGTATAATACCGTACGTATTAACTGCTTGATTTGTTAACTACATTTTGTATTCTGTATGATGTAAACTATTGTAAACCTTATAATTTTCTTTGGAGTTTTAAATATTGAATTAATTGTCAATTTTATAGTACTTAAATTTCTATATAAAGACAATTTTCACTCATTTCTAACACTGAGAAAATTTATGAGAAGATTTAGATACAGGATTTTTAGACAACAAGAAAAACTATGTTGTAATAAAATTATTTCAATTTCAAGTATATTTTTAACCATATTTATAAACGTTTCGTATTTTATGTTTGCTATACAAAGTTAATGATATGTGAGAATTGTAATAGTTATTGAAATAATTCTTAGGTGCCTGATTATTTGTCTGTTTGTGAATATTTTTGGAACGTACAATTCCTTCGTCTTTCTCTCACAGAGTTCTTTCTCTTACACAGTAAAACAGCGCATAATTTTCATCCGCGTAATGAAACGTTAACTACTACATCATTAAAAACGAGCACACGCTTACCGCCTTTCTTACCCGATGACGCTATCATCTGTCCGAAATTATCTCCTTCACGCTTAAGGAGCTCGACCTATCCCGCGCTCCGGAAACATCCGGTATATCCTTGCCGCTCGCGTTTTCACCCTCGTTTTCAGTGGATTCCGGGCGGAAAGCTCGGTCGGCCGGATTCACGGGGGTGGATTGAGACATGCCGGGGTGTGGCCGGGCCCAGGGATTAACCTCCGCTGACAGCCAATCATATCCGAGACAGCCCCACCAGGCGGATGACTACGAAACCCGGCTGAAACTGTCGCACTCCCTCGCCGTCCCTCGCAACAACCCCCACCGCTAATTGCCTTGGCTTTAATATCGCATGTGGAATGAAAGCCAGAGGAGGAAGATGAGGAGGAGGAGGCGGCGGCGGTGGCAAGGGTAACCAAGGCGGTGAAGAGGGACCAGGGAGGATGATAGCGTCGGTTGTAAGGCAACAGAATGCTGTAGAGTCCAGGAAGGGAGAGACTGCTTTGTATGTGTCGATCGCAATACCTACGTTCCTGGGCTGTTCAGAGTGGAAAGGTGGAAGGGAGATGCGTATGGCATTATGCGTTCGTGAATTTTATACGTGCGTTCGCGCCTATAGGGCAGCGATTGCATGGCTAAGCTGTAGATCATTCTCTATTCGGATTCCATTTGGGAACAATAGATAGCGCGCGGCTACTATTTACTATCGAAATTGATATTTAGTTAGTTAATGATCCTCTCCATGCCACGATCAGCAGGTATCGTGAATTGGATTAGTTTCCGCGGTTGATAGATTTACCGAGCCGATCAATGATTGATGCGGACAATGTGAGGACTTCATGGACAAGAGAGTCAATTCCAGCCATCATGACTGGAACAATGACATGTCGGGATGTATGGTTCGATTTTCGAAATCGCCAGCGGAATGTAAAATCAATTGGATTTTCGCATAATGTAAATCAACTGTGTTTAGTTGGATATTTTGCCTTTAATTTCGTTAATTCTAACATTCCTGAAATGAATCAATTTATCTATGCGCAAAGTATTAAAATAAATTATGCATAGGTTGTCAACTCTTTTTTTTCACGCAAATTATTTTATCAGCTTAAAATGTACCTAATAAAAATATACGCTTTAAGAGAGAAGCTTTTAAGAAGCTTTTGATTCTTTAATGAAACCCACGGTGTGAAATAAGGAAGTAAAAAAAAACCCGTAGTTGGTTTGATTTGTTTCATCAAGCGTTTAATCTGTCTGAAAATCGAACCGAATTCGTTGAAGTGAATAGAAGTCTTGCCTGATCGTCTTTGTCTTATATATTGGCTCGTAAGGGTGGCTCTTATAAAGCGGAGCAATTATCCGGGTAAAATACTTCACGAAATTTCCGTGATAAATTTCAGGCCGTAATAAGGGTGAGTCGCAAGTCATTTGGGCGGCGATCAAGAGGGTGGGTATCGAGCTTCAATAGAAATTCTTTTGGACCCCCACTACGGCACGGGCTACCATTTAATTTATTCATTTGTCGCCAATTTCATTCGACCCTACTTCTGTCTCCCCTTATCCAAAAACTGATAATTACTGTACTAGGGCGCAATGTTAAAATAAGACAGCGAAGAAATTAACCTGGCGAAGCACGCGTTTCGTCTTTTCTGCAAATTTAACGTGTATGCAATTTCTACTTTTCAAAAGAGATTATTAAACAAATTAAATAAAATCTGTCTAAATTTTAAATAATAATTTTTTTAAATACAGTACGGCTATAATAATGTACTTGTTTCTTTATGTGTGTAAACGGTTCAATGTATATAAAACTATTTATCATTTTGCAATAATTGAAAAACTTGTCAATTACAATTCTTTTAATTTAGCTTAACATATACTCAAATATACATATTAAAATAATGTAAGAAAAAGATTCTGTCTCTTTGTTTGACGAATAAAGGTTTGGAGAGTTAAAGGGATTAGATTTTCGCCACTAATCCCTTATAGCAAAGCAATTTACAGTAAAGTTTGTGTAATAAGAAATATACGATGCAGTAACGAACCGGTTTGCAAAATAGTTAGAGAATAGCTTAAAAGTTGTGTGTAAATTTAGAATTTATGGCTCAATCTTAACTTCATAACGGCTTTTCGAGCGTAAAACTTTTATTAGAGGTGTTATTAATGCGTATGCCTACTTCATGAAAGATGGAACATTTAAATTTATTACTAACATGCACATTACGCCTTTATTAATTGCAGTAGAACTGCACCAAATTTTTTTACATGTGCAAAAATTATTTTTATGTATAGAACCACATATTTTTGAGCAATATTATATAATTATGAAATACCCAAAGGGCTTATTCTCTTATAATATGCGTCAATTATATCAGCGGATTAGAAAAGATTTTTAATTCGATGATAGAGTATGTATAAATGAATCCTTATCTTTGACTTCAGATAAAGCATCATATATTATTGAAATGACATGTTGTTATATCAACAAAAAGATAAATCTGTGCGTGCATAAAGTCGGCATGACGTAAAACCTCACATAATTAAGCTCTTGCCCTCGAGTGTAACCTCCTTAGAGGTTTTCCAAGGTACTGAAATTCCCGCGTACCCGTCAACGTCTAATGAGGGGATTGTGGATGAAGTTTCAGATTGGCATGAAGCAATTAAGGAGGACTTATTTACCTCAACATCTTTAGAATACATTAATAACGATGGTCGCCGTCTTAATTTAGTTATACATGTAAAAGCTGTAGATAGGTGTACATTACACTTGACAATATTTCCCTTATTGACTCTTTTCTTTATATCTTTATTTTCGTTATTATTTAAAAGTTTTTCTTTTGGTTTAATATTTTAAATTCAATTCGTTTTCCTTGCGTTGCGAAATGAACACTAAACTAAAGACGGGAAATAAACACTTTTCACAATAATATATTTGCAATATACAATTTTTGTGCATATTCTTCGTAATGTGAAAAATAAATTGCACAATTAGCAGTTTATTTTTACTACATATAATGTAATAGGTATGTCTCACTCACGAAAACTCCGTCGGCAAATATATCAACGATATTCTAAATAGGTATCTTTTTTCATAGCAGTCTTATGTAACTAATTTGTGTTCATTATAATATTACCATCTTCGTGTAATTAGCTTAAGAATTTCCCGAGTCAGCGTGAAATTTCGTAAGATAAATTGCGCGAAATTCCTCCCAATAATCCATAGCGAGTGAACTCTTCGATGTTGAAGACTATCTCAATCCAAGACGAGATAAGAAAGATCATCCGAACAAAATTAAACTACCTCATCATCATTAGGACCTAATTACCGGAAGGTCGTGGACGCGGATGACATCGCTGACGAGCGGTTGAAGCAAGCTACTAACTACGTTTACGCACGCGCTCATCTTCGTCTTCACAGATACGCTTTCTGAGAAGCCTGGTGGTGTCGGTATCAGCATCTTCAAGTGAGCTAGTCGGTCTAGGCGAAAGCTTATTAATGGGTGCATGGCTACGGGGGACGGGGGAGCTTTCGCAGGACGGCGACGAGGAAGAACGGGTTGCGAGTCGGCGGAGGTGGATGCTGGCTGGATAGCTCGGGAGATAGAGGGTAGAAAAAAGTAACAGACTCCCCGCAAATAACCCCCACGGTGCTCGCGGTAGGCGTGTCCCGGACACGGGGTGATGGCAGAATCCGGCCAACCAGGAACCGGCGACGACGCGCGCCCCGGCCTTCTCTCGTCGAATGAAAAAATATTGACCGTACGAGGGGGTATCCTGCGGTCCATTTGGGGGTTGCGGAGGTGAAACATAACGGTCGACTGATTGTTAGGGGTGGCGGGCGGGCAAGGGGGGTTACGAGGCGGCGGGTGAATACCCTCCTCGTCACGTACGGGATCATTAGCTGGATATCCTTGGTCCCGTTGGCCAACCCTATCCGATAGCGGTGATCCTCGTGCTTGACATCATTATCCTTGGATGCTGCGGAGCGCCAACGCGGTCCGATCATACTTCGTCGCAGGCGTCTTCGTAGTTCGGTCTTTCGATACCACCACGTTCTCTTCTCGTACTTTTGCCTCTCCTTCGCCTGAGGTTCCGTTCGTTCGTATTTATCCGTCAACCATTTGGCAATCCAAGCGGCATACAGTTATTCAATAAATCTGCGAAAATTGTGACAGTGCGCGAATTTGTTATGTATGACGGGATAATAATTCGTCGATAGTAAACACGATTTGCGATGGTGAAATAATGACTTTTGACAGTGTGCGAGAAAGTGTGGAGAAATTACTGTGACTAAAGAACAGAATAATCTGTTTGATTAACACATTTGAAAAATAGTGATGAATTAGTTTGTGATAATAACTCTGGCTTGAATAGATGACTATGGTGAAGAAGAAGAACGGATTGGATATATTCAGTTGACCGCTGTTTTTGAGGAAAGAATTTGTGACAAGTGTTTATGCAACAAATGCAAGAAGTGTTTATGCAACAAATAACGTAACATTTTAAAAGAACTTGAATTTACGATCGCTGTGATTCTTCAACGCATTTGAACGTTCTTTTTAAAGTCGAATTAATATCTGCGTTCATAACACAAAAGATTAATAAGTAATTAATGTTAACCGTTTTCTGACGACTATATGATTCAATAATATTAGTTACAGTGACAGAAAAATATTGGGGAAAGCTAACAGTGTCAAGAGAACATTTCAAAATGGAGACGAGCGATCCGTCGGGTAGACTAACGGCGGAAGACTTATCGGATTGCATAAGTGACAGTAGCCACTCGGAATCTCAGTTAAGAGCATTTCAAAGTTATGAGCGCATTAAAGAACTTAATCTATCCATTGATAAAACCAAAGAAGACGCATCGACGGAACCAAAGGATTTTCATCTTAGTCTCGAAGGCAACGATAGAACGTCCCTTCGATTCAACGAGTTTCCATGCGAAAACTCGACCAGGAATCTAACTATGACGTTGAACAAGGCTAAAGATTTCGCTTATTCTACCAATAATTTAACTGAGATTAATTATTCATTAGATAGATCGAACGAGAATGAGGAGTCAGCTGACGCTGCGACACTTTGCAGATCGAAAAATTCAAGCGCTAAGAATGCGCTGTTTAATTTGCGGGAAACCAAACAAAGGAGTCCTCATGCGTCGTTGTCCTCCTTAGACAGGTACAGCAAGGATCTCAATTTTGTAGTGGAAAAGGAAATGAAGGACTTCGGCCTGCTCAAGAATTATAATCTTGATCGCATGAAAGAGTTCAATTTTTCTCTGGATAGAATGAGGGACACTCACATTAGCAGTTTGGCCCTCGAAAGATTGCGCGGCGGTGCCGGTGTACTGGAAAATTCGAGCATGCTGGATCACAAAGAATTCAGGAATTTGCAAGTACAGCCGAGGAATCCCGATCTCGAAGCCATAGCTTTGGAGCGTATGAGACGCTCGCATCTGCTTGGTACGGAATTATCTGCGCAAAATTTGTCGACGCAAGTACCGCATTCGCACTCGATCACGCATATGCAGCACTCTCAACAACAACAGCAGCAACAAGCGAAGTCTTTCACCATCGACGCGATCCTAGGCCTGAGGAATAATCAGCGAGAAAAGCGAAGTCAGCAGCAACAATACAGAAAACATCAAGGTAGAATATTTTTCCTATTTCTACACATACCGACTTATATTTTGTGAAAAAAGAATGCTTTAAACACCAGAGTAATATCTTGAATTTTTAGCTATCTCAAAATTCTAATTTATCTACCTCGAACGAAACGAGCGCTATTAGTAAATGATTAGAATCACAATTAAGATACAAATAATTTAAATTCTGAACATAACACAATTTAGAGTAAAGGTATTTTAAAGAAATTGAAATTTTTGTTATGAAGAAACAGTTATATCTTGATATTTTACGCTTTCAGCCACAATAATATGTATTTTCTTCTCAAAATGCACTTAACATTTTAACAAAATTATATGCATTATGTTATTTGATAATGAAAAACAATCGAAATGCTTTTACATATCGTCTACTGTATGATAATTGATAGCCTATAACTAACTTCAGATAAATTTTAGTTTTCACCGGAATGGAAATGTCAAATATCTAAATTTTCTACTTCGGAAAGAAGGAAATGATATTCAAAATTTCTTAATTTGAAATCTAGGTATATATACATTTTGTGCTGTAAAATTTCCTCTAATAACTGTATAGAATATTTTTCTGAGTTTCTCAACAAATTACGTGTGTGCAAAATTTAACCTTATTGCGAGACACTTATTGTACATGTTGCATTTTTATGTAGTTTTTAAAGCTTTCATTGTTACTTAACTTTTTTCATGGCATGTAGTTAATAGCTTTTATTATTATCCGACACGTTTGCTTGCCATTTTCTCAGGCCAGGAAAGCTCGACAAAGAACGGCAATTCGAGTTCCAGTTCTGGCGGGGGCGGCAAAGTGAAGAGGGTACGAACAATTTTCACGGCAGAACAATTGGAACGTCTGGAGGGTGAATTTGCACGTCAGCAATATATGGTGGGCCCTGAAAGATTGTACTTGGCTCACGCACTTCGATTGACCGAGGCCCAAGTTAAGGTCTGGTTCCAGAATCGTCGCATCAAGTGGCGAAAGTTGCATCACGAGCAACAGAGCCAGAGAGTACATGAATTCCAGCGCACGTTGAATTCTTCGTTGGAGCACGAAGACAGCAACGAAACCGACAAATGGTGAAACAGAAAATCACGATCTACGCGTTTCTAGATCGTGACTGTCACCTTGTTCCTTCTTCCTTAACTACGCCGCTCTATCCTTTCATTTCGTTATCCTAGGAAGCCGAGAAGTTATTCTACGCGGCTGTAGTTGCAGACGAGATTCTGAACGTACAATTATCAATCTCCTGAAGAAGTATCACTTTTTATAACTTCTCATAAAGTATCCATACACGTCGCATCTTTCTTTCTTCACTCTCATCTCTCTGTGCTAGTCGTCTTGCCTGTTCTTAGTATTGTATCACGAAATTCGGGCGTTCTTTGAAGAAATTGTATATGGATTGCAAATCGTGACGAAGAGAGCTGTGTATTGCAAAAAGACATTAATATTATTGATTGTGCCAAAAAGTGAGTTTCTCATTTTTTAAATTCTTTCATACCTTAGCTTAAAACAACGAAAATAAATCGATACGCACGATAAGATATCTTATCGTGTTTCTCTAAAAAAAAAGTGCAAATCATACTTGAGCCAAATTTAAACAGCGTAACAAAATTAACAGAATAAAAAGATCTTTCATTGTAATAAAAAGATTACGTAAAAAACAAACAGTGTAAATAGAAACGTAATAAATGATAAGAAACAAAATCTAAAGAAGGTGGAGTGCAAAGTATGAGAATTAAAATATTATAAATGGAAAGATTCATTTTGACGTTGTTTAAATATTTATACAAGCTTCCTGACGAAAATGGAGAAAATTGGAAAACATAAGACAAAGTACACTTCACCGCATACGTCTACGTGGTCTGCTAATCAAACCACTGACGTTAGACTCCCGCCTGACGCATATTGGAAATATACACAAAGAAGCAATCAAGATGCCACTGATAAAAGTACCAGGTAACTTTTACTAATTGGCAAAATCATTGAAATTTAAAGAAATTCTCTATATGAATATCCCTTTGCACGTTTCATTTCTTTGTAATATAATTTGTATCAAATATAGCATTTAGAGATATTCAATATTTAAATTTATGTGAGGCTATGATTTTGAAAGGTTCATTAAGCGTATAACACTAAAAAATTCTAGAATCAATAAGAAAGTATTTTTTTATAAACAAAAAGCAATGTCTTATGAAAGCAAATTAAAAGTAGTTTCATGTTTTTTAGACGTCATCAAAGTCCTATGCCAGAATCAACAGTAAACTATTATTCCTCCGCAAATTCTTACAAGACTTTTAAGCATAACGCTTATCCATGTTCGACGCATCCAAAACATTCCCCTGTTCTTCATACGGAAGTACCACAGCGATACCAACAGATTACTATGAAATCTAATAGAAATAACGACCGTACTAATAACGTTATGGTAAATAAAGATCGATACAAGACTCAGCAAGAAGATGAGAACAATACAGACTATATTGACGAAGAACTAGGCAATTTTACTGAAGATAATTTAGAAGATGATGCTGAAGAGGAAGGTATAAATGAAAGTGTGTATGCACTTTAATTCAATTTATTTTTGTTTATACAAAATTGTATCACATTTAAGGAAAATATTGGCAAGAAAATTTAATAATAAAAATTATATAGTTGAAATATATATTTGAAAAGATGTAAGAAAAACCTTACTTATTGTTAGATTTTAATTTTAATTATTATTACGTTTATAATTAGATAAAAATAGAAGAAAAACTGGAAGTGATTAATGATATATTGAGAAGACTTGAATGTTTTACTAATATAATGAACCGTATTTATTTATAAAATAATTACAAGTGCTTGGAATAATTAAGAACATGTAATTATTGCGACTATATTTAGTTTCTTAAAATAAAATGTTCATATAGTGGAAAATGATCGGTCCCTTCGAAGCGACAAAAGAGTCAACGAGTCTATCAATAAGGAATACGATGAACAGGAAGCCGACGATGAGATAGATGAAGAATCGGATGTACCTGCCGAAACACAAGCAATACAACGCAATGCAAATAAGAAAGATGCATTGCTGCGAGCACAACGAATGCGAATAATTAACCAGCAACAAGATCCATATAGAATTCGTTACTCTCAACAATCACCAAAATTGTATCAAGCTTATCATTTACCAACAAGGTTTGTAATGTAATTTTTTAAAATAAACATAAAAGTTGTCTTCTAAAATCTTCGATTTAACGACCAACGCCTAATTGCCCAATTGGAAAAAATAAAATTTATTGTTATCTATTTGCTGAGACCAGAAAACTGATATGTACAGACATACAAATATGTTTTGCTATACTTGTTTCATCTAATTTGGTTAATCCCAATTATTTCTCAATTTCTGCTAGTTTAATCGCACTATGCCGTGGACAGTCCATTCAAAGCTAATGAAGAACTAAATGGATTGTACATGACAAAGTAGCATAAATCAGAAATTAGAGGCATGAACGTACATTAAACAGGATACGTTGTAATTAAATAGCTTAATGATAAATTATCTGTATTATGCTTTGGCTCGTTATTCTCTTTCATACGTATTCTATCATCGGTACGTCAAATTTCTGCGAGGTGCCCGTATGATTAGGTACTACCACAACACCCATGATCACGATATCCATGAAACATTGTCGGAAGAAGATCTGTACACGGCTCAAGCGTTGAAAAATCATTCTCGGAGATCATCAATGGGCTATCATCAAAATTGGATTCCGCAAAGGAGTTCAACAAATCGATATGACACAATGACCTCGCTAGCTCAGCCGAGTCGCCGGGCACGGACGAGACCGGAGATAAAGTCTTTTACGGAAGCAGAACTTGTCGAGAGGAGAAAGTGTAGCCGTTGCGGTAACATCTCGACCAGGAAACCATCAACTTCGAGAAGAAACAAATGTGGATTCCAGGATAATTCTAATTGTTCAACTAAGGCGCGTTTTGGTAAGCAAATAATAAGGTCCGGCATTCAGAAAAGTACATTAATATTAAAAATAATTGTGATTACACAGCATCAGGTAATTGTCCTCTTTAATTAATTATTTTCATTTATTTTTATAATTATTTGCTAGATTTCATCGTTGTGCTCTTGCATTAATAAATATCAGCTAAAGTCTATAATACTTTATAATTTTCTGATTTCAGGAGATGATGCAGAAATATTCGACCAATCCTGGTGCGGACATTGTAAGCCGAAACATCATTTTGAAGGAAACATGGGGCCTTGTGAAATTCCATCACCGGCTTTGTACTCGATGAAATCACGACGTTCCAGGGATACTAATATTCCGATGCACGATACGTTAGAAGAAAAACATCCGATTGACGAGATATCGCACCAGTTTGCACGGATGTCATCCAGATATTCCAAAGATACGCCAAACACTTTACGCGATAGAACCAGACATTCTGTGCAGACAAGGCGCAACTAGAATTTTTTTTTATTTTGTCATTTTTAGGAGCCAATATGAAATACTAAGAAAATTAATGTTTTATAAACGCAATGTGCAATATAAATTTTATTGCTGGCCAAATTATTTTCCAATAATATATCTTCAGGAAAAGATGAAACTTATTTTGTGCTTACTTAAATAACACTTTACACAAAGCTAAACTTTTAAAATAATTTTAAAAAATAACTCGCTGCGTTTATAGCATTGTCCGACTGTCCATTATTAAAAACTTAACTATTCAAAACAATTGACTATTACAAACAACAAATTATTTTTATCAGAGTAAAAAGATATTTATGAATATGAAGGTTATTGAAATGTGAACTGCTACTTTCGGGCTATCCTTCATTTAATCTTACTGTTACATTCTGTAACAAGCAACCTGGTAAAATATAAAACTATCGAGAGTTAAGAAAAATATAATAAAACAATGAACAATGACATTGCACTTTGTAACAATCACAGATGCTGCAACAATACTTCTATCCACCGTCAGTTCCCTTCTACCGTTTGTCCAACATATATTTTTGTAACCGTCTCTTGAATCGTGTAGATGTTCTGTGTAGTATAATAAAAGAATTATGCCAAGGCATAAAGGCATGAAAAATTAGTGTCACAATGTAAATACAAATTAATTAAAGCCTATAGAGCCGATGAAGCGCGATTTAATATTCTTTTTCTCATTGTAATTTTAAAAAGACAAACGTCACTTTACATCTTTTGGCACTGGCACACAAAATCTATTGTAAATACGTGATATTATTATACAATTAATTATACGATAGACGTACGCGTACATGTTAAATGGAGAATAAACTCTCAATCTGTACATTAAACATAAATGGTATGTTTAATTAATCCCAAATTAACATCCATACCTAAATTCACGTTATTTTTTATAATTATTTGGTATATTTGTAATTGGTATTAAGTTTTTCTTATATACACTATTTAAAAGTAAAAAAATAATAACACAACGAATCATTTAATAAAAATATAATATTGCTAAAAAATTTTAATTGAACGTATGTGAATTTATTATGATATATTTTGTAATTATGAAACGCGGCTAATATTTCAAATTTCGAATAATGTAAGCGGGAAAAACCACTATATCTTGTATGAGTTTTCAAATAATTTTCGCTCCCCGCTCGTGTTTAAAGTCAAAAAAGAGAGAGTAGCGTTTCATGTAACACAAAAGAGAAACTTTGACTGAAGCTTTTGTTTAAATATTAATAATAATAACGCTCTATTGCATTTACGTTGGAAGATTATGCTTTATTCAATTATAAACTTAATACTTTTATTACACACGTCAGCACGCTAGAAGTAGATGTTGCTTATTGTACGAGCACAATGATAGGAATTTAAATTTTTACAAAATATAATTAAATTTTTCATGCAATAAACATATATCTATATTTGTAGAAAAATGCAAATAAATGTGACATTTGTGACATATTTCATTAAGTATATGAACAAAATATTATAAAGTATGTGTAGAAGTTGTACGGTTACATCTCGTCATATTTAAACAAGAAAAATTTACAAAGGCAGTAGATATATGTGTTAAAAAATTAAAAACTTGATAGAGAGATTGATAGATACATTTCTTAATCTTTAATAAGCTTGAGATTTTAGTAGTCTCAGAAAGTACAATATTGCCTTGTTATAAAATTTGTGAAAGACTATTAATACACATATAAATTGCATCGCACGTACTATTCTGCTATATAAAAATTTGACATGGGTGATGGTTAGTAACTAATATTCGCTCGTTACGCGGAAGCCTCATTGTCACCGTGATAAATTAGCATAGGACCCGTGTCAAAGCATCACAAAAAGCCCTTGATGCACAATCATGTAGACTTCGCTATTACGGAGATACGGAGAAAGATATCAATCAATTCGTAATGCACCATTTTATCACAAATTCCATTTATTCAACATCAATTGATATGGCTGTTATTACTATTACGGGACCCTCTCTATAATTAACATCATCATATATACTTTAAAAGTCATTATCGGTAAATCATAAATCCTCATGTGTATGTGTGTTTGAAATATAATCAATAAAATCATTTTGTTTAAATTAATAAATTGTTTCTCTTCTTTTTAAACTAAGAAAGAAAGCTAAGTTTAACAAATTTATCGTATATACAAAACTAAACTAGTTGTTTCAATTAAAGATAATAACACGACAGTTCTATTTAGTATAATTTTGTCTGCGAATCTAATAATAGTAAAATTAAAAAATTTGAAATTGTACACATACACAAAAACACATTGGGTGGTTCAAAACAATTTTTAACAATTATATGCTTCTGATGTAAAACAGACACAAAAGTCTAATAGTTAAAAAATCAGAGAAATATGACAAAAGTATCAAATTACACAATTACTATAATTTGAATTTCTTCTATTTTCTTTCAGTTTTCAGGTAAGTAAATAATTTACAAAATTTCTAGGAACCAATGAATCGTCGTACAAAGAAGCTCGTGCGTAGATAAAGCTGCACGACGAGATCGAAATCGTCACGAGGTGAAAGGGAAGAACGAAGGCGAGATGAGCTTCGATATCTCGCGCTACAACCCTGTGCGAGATATAAGCTCCGCCTATCCCTCGGTTACAGCGGGACTTGCAAGAGCCCTGCAACCCCCACTTTCCGGTGTAGGGTATCCCAACCCCTGCTCCATCGTCGTTGGCATCCGCGGCATTCCAATTAGCTCGCGAATCAAAAGAGCCCCACTGCCTTTGTGGGGTCTCACCCTACCCCCAGTAAACTCGCTCGATCTCTCTCTATCGCCCTATCTCGTTAACCACCCCCTCTCTGTCCGTCTATCTATCCGCCTTGCTATCTGCTTTATCGCACTTTCCATATATTTATCTTTCTGTCTAAATCACTACACTCATATACGTACAGTCCTTCGCACGGAATTTTACACTTGTTTCATTAACGCGTATGCTTGTAACATATACTTCCTAAATAAATGTAAAATTAACCGTCATTTAAATAATCTAAGGCTGCTCACATATATTTGTCTTATTCTTAAAGATTGCATTTAGTATTATTATGATACAAAAAATAAACTGAAGACACCGTCCTTTCGTACAGATCCTGTGCAATTTGTGCGCAGAAAAATATTAATGAGACGAAATATACAACTCATAACGAATGAATTAAGAGCGTTATGAAAATCTTTCTAGATTACTTAATTGCTCGTCCGTTTTTTCTTCTGTACAAAATTAATATTTTCATTTTCTATGTGAAGTGTGTAAACAAAATAATAAAAGAAATCTCTTTTATGCCGTCCTCTCTCAGCTTTCACTGTGTATCCAGTCTTTCCTTTTTATTTGCATCTCTTCTCTTCCAAGCTCTGCCTCCCTTTGCCTCTTACTGCCCCTCCGCTTATATTTGTTGCTCTTTTTACCATTCTCCCTCTCTCACTGAATCGTTTCCTCCTTCTCTGCGTTATTCTCTGCGTCCTTCACTCACAGATGGGCTTTTTAGTGGAATAAAACCAAGCAACGCTAAAGAGCGGCTGTTACGAGAGGGCTGAGGGGGGGGGGGGGGGGCTGGTTGGGATTAACCGCAGTTTTAATCGTGAACCTTCTTTGACGGACGAAATTCATATAAACGCATGAGCACTTTAGTAAACGACCGAATTACGTTGCTTTAGTTCAAGTGGTATGCAAATCTTTGAAGTTGGTTTGAACATATTGTAAGCTGATCAGTTTATTTATAGAATATCCATATAATTACACATAATTATGAAATATTTACAAACAGGTATGTAACTAAATTTATATAAAAATGTTTCTAATAATTAACGACAATATGTTTTCTTTAGTAATAACGAATAGGAAAAACTAACATAGCATATACTTTTAGTAAATGTTGTAAATTTTCTAATCTTCGTATATATTATACTTGTACACGTAGAAGTAAAATGACGTTATTATTACAGATTTAGAAAAAAAAACGCAATATTTCTGGAGTATATTTCAAGACATTCAGAAATATGGCGAAGCAGATTTCAATATTCCGGTCGACCGAATGACAAATTGGTATTGCAAAGCGACTCTCGACGTTTCCCTCAGCCTTTCGCGTTTTTACTCAAACAGGCATCCATATACACCAGTCGCTCGGGGTAATTGAAATCGGAGGAAACCGCTCGTGGTGTTTCCCCCGACTCGGTCACGACGAAGCGCAACGCAAATTTTATTACGGCGCGCCTCTATCCACTTCGTTAGATACCACTTTGTTTATCATTCGCGGATATTAAAATCGTCAGTGTGATGTGTACGTGGATATATATCCAGCATCGTTCCGCCATTTGCATGCGCATCACTGACTCTCCAAAATTCCATATTTTCCCAACTCACTCCTTTCTCAAATATTTGTCCTGATAGAATCAACGATTGCACTAAAACATACATTTCATTTTTCAGTTAATTATAATAACACGTTAATTGGAAAATTAAAAAATAATGCAATTTTAATAAGAAATTAGAAAATTCCTCCGGCTTTGCTAACAATGTTAAAGTTGCATAAAATACAAAAGATGAATGTTGTTAAAATAACTAAGTATTTGACGAATATTATGATTCAGTTTAATGCGAGAGAGAGAGAGAGAGAGAGAGAGAGAGAGAGAGAGAGAGAGAGAGAGAGAGAGAGAGAGAGAGAGAGAGAGAGAGAAGCAATAAAAGTGCTTGAACTAATATTAATAATACCAATAGATAACGCGCTGAGAAGTATTTTATTTAAACACTATTATGTGTAGTATGTTTCCTGGCAAGATCAAAAGCATTCCTACGTTCGAAACATGTAATCTTCACTTTATTCGACCATTAGATTGTTATCAAATGCGTAATCTCTGGAATCCGCAATTCACATGTACAAGTTCAAATTCATGCACTAATTCTCTCTTTAATGGCAAATAACAATGAATATAACATAGACTTAATTGCTTGTATTATTATGAAAGTTAATTGTTTTATCATAGACAACTAGAATTTAACAAACAATATGCT